GATCCATGGTTCATAGGGTCATTATGTTGTTAGGTGCCTTCAAGTCAAGTATCCATAGCGGCCCTATGAATAACACATCTGAATCTTGTCTTACTCTGTGCCATCCTCACACTTCCTGACACAGTAGAGCCCATTACAGCAGTCATTGAGTCAGTCCATCTGGTTGAGGGTCTTCTTCTCCTTCATCATTCCTCCACCATCACCTCAAAGACAATTAACAGCAGCAACAAGAAGAAGAACAGACTAAGATATATTAATTTAGTTTACTAGGACAAGAAGCTTACTGACCAGGGGAAGCACTGCTGGGGGCAGTTGATCAGAAGAATTTTTTGCTAAGGTTATGAGAGGAAGTAATCTACTATTTATTCCCTTTCACAAACAACCACCGCTACATGATTAGATTAAGCAATGCATGGTTGAAGGAGAAACCATTATTTGCTTTACTTTTATTTAATTCTGTGAACACGGCTAGAAACAAAGAGGGTAAGGGTTAATATATTCTAGAACTAGTAAAAAAGAACTAGGAAAACAAATCTAAGAAGAATCTAAGAATACTAGATCAGCTTGTTGTTCTGTGCCATTGAGTAAAACTCATAGCAACACAGATCTAACCCCGTCCTGTTGTGTGACATCCTCATCACCTCTGACATATTTGAACCCATTGCTTTGGTCACTATGCCAATCCATCTTGTTGAAGGTCCTCCCTTCTCTTATAAACCCTTCACCTTTCTAAGAATGATATCCTTCTCTAAGGAACATAGCAACATGCCTAAAGTATGTGAGATGAAACTTTGTCTTCTTTGTCTCCAAGGAGCATTCTGGCTGCACGTTCCCCAAAATATATCTGTTTGTTCTTTGGGAAGTTCAAGGGATAGGATACTAGGTACTCTTCGCCAACACTACAGCTTAAAGATGTCAATTCTTTCATTGTCCAGCTCTCAGATGCATATCAAGTGATTGAAAAGACCATGGACTGAGTCAGGCACATCTTCATCTTCAAACTGACATCATTACTCCTCAGTAATGCTTCTTTTGAAAGAAAGGTGCCCAATTCAAGATGTAATGCTTCTTTTGAAAGGGTGTAATGCTCATTTTGAAAAGATGTAATGTTCCTTTAGAAAGGATGTAATAATGCTCCTTTTGAAAGATCCCCAATAGCAGACTTGCCCAAAGCCATATGCTTCCTGATTTCCCTACTATTGGTACCAAGGGTGTTGATTGTGGATTCACGTAAGATGAACTCATTGACTATTTCAATCTTTTCTCCAACTATCACAATGTTACTTATTGGTCCAGGGGAGATCAGCTCAGGTGTGACAATTTTGGTTCATTTATGCAAGCTATCATACAGACTTTCCTCAAAACAGTCCCCCTTTACAAAAAGGACATTTCTGGTTTGTTTTTCTTCAAATATTACTAAAGAAATGAGGGAGCTCTGGTGGACTAGTGGCAAGAAGCTGCACTGCAATCCCAGAGGTACATGGTTTGAATCCACCAGATAGATGATCTGCTGGAGGAGGGGCAATCTCTTCTTGTACCAATCAGATCCAGTTTAATGTACCCACACACAAAATATAATAAACGAAAATAAATTAAAAGATATTATTAAAGCAATGTTGTTGTTATGTGCTGTTGACTATGACACATGGTGACCCTAAACACTTTCTCTGAGCCTTGCCCTATCCATTACAAAAGTCATCATTCAATCCATCTTGTCCAGGGTCTTTCTCTCTTACACACTGAAATACAGAGTAACAAGGAAAGGGGGAAACTTAAAATTCATTGGTTTTTGCTATCAGTAATAAATGAAAAGAATGTAGCAACTAAGATGGCTGCTATCCGAACTGAATAAAATCCTACCAGGGCAGAATGAAGCCCCTTAATCTCAGGGTCTATCAGGAGGGAAAATGGCACAATCCAATGAAATGTTAGGTGTGCTGTTGGTTTTTCAAAACTTATTCTCTTGCTTGTTGCAGAAGAAAACACTTGCTGGTCCTGTACCATCCCCACAATACTCGTTATGTTTGAGACCATTGTGACAGTGGCTGTATGAGTCCATCCTGCATCAAACTCAAAACTCTCTAGTGAGTTCCAACTCGTAGCAACCCTCCAGTGAGTTTCTAAGGCTGTGAATCAAAACCAGAGGAGACTGCCCATCTTTCTCCTGTGGAACTGCTGGTGGATTTGAACTATCAGAGAACCTTTGGGTTAGCAGCGAATTTGCTGTGGACCATGCTACCAGGTGTCCCTATAAATATATGTGTATGCATATGAAGCTGTGCTGCAAGCCTGAAGGCACGTGGTTAAAGGCCACCAGCTGCTCTACTGGAGAAGGATGTGCAATCTCCTCCTGTGTGAGTAACTGCTCTGAAAACCCACCAGAGGGTCAGCTATGGATTGGCTCTGACTCTATGGTACACAGAACCACAATATTATAGATAATATATAATAATATAAAAGAATATAATTAACATAACATAACATAACATAATATATTATATCTGATGTTAGATAGATCTTGGCTGAAAGCAAGGAGTACCAGAAGAATGTCTATCTTTGTTTCATTGATTATTCAAAGGCATTTGACTGTGTGGATCATAACAAACTGTGGCTGACTCTGAGAAGAATGGGAATCCCAGAACACTTGATCACGCTAATGTGAAACCTATACTTGGACCAGGAGGCAGTCGTCAGAACAGAGCAAGGAAACACTGCATGATTCAAAATTGGGAAGGGTGTACGCCAGGGCTGTATCCTGTCTCCATATCTTTTCAATATTTTTGCGGAACAAATTATCCAAGAGGCTGGGCTCTATGAGGAGAAATGTGGCATCAGGATTGGAGGAAGAATCATCAACAATCTGTGTTATGCGGATGACACAACCCTGCTTCCTGAAACTGAGGAGGACCTGAAGCACTTGCTGTGAAATATCAGGGACTGCAGTCTTCAATATGGATTGAGACTCAATATCAAGAAAGCAAAGATTCTCACCACTAGGCCGACTGGCAGCATCATAATGGATGGTGAAGAGAATGAGATTATTCACAGTTTTGGTTTGCTTGGATCCACAGTCAACATTCTTGGCACCAGCAGCCAGGAAATTAAAAGACGTATTGTGATCAGAAAGCCTGTGGTTAGAGACCTCTCTAAAGTGCTAAAGTGGAATGATGTCAGTCTGGAGACTAAGGTGTCCCTGATACATGCCATGGTCTTTGCAATCAGTTGTGATGCATCAGAGAGCTGGATAATAACTGGGGATGATAGAAGGAGAATTGATGCCTTTGAGTTGTGGTGTTGGAGAAGAGTATTCAATATACCATAGACTGCTGGGAAAACAAACAGGTTTGTCCTGGAGAGGGTGAAGCCAGGCTGCTGCTTGGAGGCAAGGATTCTGAAGCTTCGTCTGACATACTTTGGACATGTTGCAAGGAGGGACCAGTCCTTGGAGAGGGGTGTCATGCTTGGGAGGGTGGAGGGACAGTGCAGGAGAGAAAGACCCTCTATGAGATGGATTGATTCAGTGACTTGGGTAATGGGGGTAGGTGTGTCGGAGATGGTGAGATTGGCACAGGACAGAGCAGAGGTTAGGGCTGTTTTACATGGGGTTGCTATGAGTCACAGGCGACTCGATGGCACATAACAATAATATATTATATGATCTATTCTATATATTATTA